ACCAAAATTTATATGTGATATCTTCGACTATGGTAGTATCGATTTTGGGTATTAGATGAAAAAAAAAATTATTTAAATTTTTTGAGTCTCCATGGAGGAATCTGAACTTTGCCATAACCGTCTCAAATCGGGACCAAAATTTATATGTGACATCTTCGACTATAGCAGCATTGACGAAGGGGTTGAGGCTTAGGAAATTTGATGTACAAGTTTGCTTCCTACATATAAGGACCACCCTAATATGTATAAAGTGTGTCTATGTACAGGTGTATCTCTAGCAGATTAGCGGAGAGTAAAAAATAAATACACAGCCAAAGTTTTACGATTAGCTGTATTTAGTTGTTTGTTGACATATTTTTGTTGCTGCTATAGTGCTTAGATGTGGTTTTCTACTTACCGCAACAAATAATTCGTCCCACAAAAACATTCACACATAGGTACTAAACATGCATATATATATGTATCTCTATTGTCAAAATGAGAGAATAAAATGAGAGAATTGGAAAATTCAAATGGAGCAAAAGGAAAGAATAAAATATATAAAAATAACCGTACGCCGAAAAAGGTGGCAAAGTAAAAGAAGGTAGATGTTTGTTAACAAATATTAGAAAGTTTGTGTCTTAATATTAAAATCCAAAATGGTGAACCAGAAATTTCAAAGTACTCCTAAGAAGACTGTGGAAACGCAGCGGTACATTTCAATGAATCAAAAGCTTCTACTGAAAGTTTTCATGAATAATAATGCTGGATTTTCACTCTCTCTGCTCCAGCTCTGAAAGTATTCAACTCGGAACCCGCTGGTGGTAGCAGAGGAAGTGGGCGGCCCCTACTGCGATCGAAAGACCAAGTGAATAAGGACTTGGCTTCACTTGGCATTTCCAATTGGCATCAGTTAGCACAGAAGAGAAACGACTGGCGTGCTTTGTTGAACTTGGCCAAAATCACTTAGGCGGCTACAGCGTCAAATAAAAAGAAGAAGAAGAAGCTTTATGCAAAAATTTGGGTATTCAAAAATATCGGTGGCATTAATTTGCTACTTTTCAAGTCCGTGGTGCTGACCGTTTTTTTTTTCTAGTGTAGCTACCAGAGCTATTTGAGATTCAAATTTACAGCCTTGAAGACCCCAAGAATGCATTTACCCCTCTATTCTAACAGAGTGACAAACCTAAGCTCGTCACTGTTGTGATTTCTAGTGCGCCGCGAAATTCGCCACCAACTTGCATAGTAAGGGAAATAGAGAGAGCAAAGTGACAGTTCACTTGAAGCAGAACTTGCAAGTTCTTGCTGGAAAAATTTTTAATATTGGCAATTTGGCAGAAAAAACAGCAGATCAAAGTTATCTGCCTACAATTTAAGAGAAAATAATTAAATTTCTACCCAATTAAAAAAAAAAGTGGTGGTAAGGCTTGCGTGAGCACAAGAGTAAAAGAGTTTAAACGCTTGACGAAGCGATTCAAAATAATATAAAACTAATTCAATCAATTGTGTGCTTAATTACGCAAGCATCTTTTCTATTTGTATTCTACGATGTTTTTTTTATCGAAGAAAAATAACTGCCAAGTATCATTAGCAAAAGATACTCAGCTAGCAGGTATTGTGGAAATAAAGTCGCTATTACCTTTTTTGTACGACTGAGGTATGGTGAGTGTTTGACAAAATCACACAGCGAAAAAAGCTTAAAAGGGAAACAACAGCTAGCTGAACAAGGCAAAGCATAAGTTGACACAATGCAAAGGAAAAAAACCAAAAAAATATAAAACTGATGAATAATAAATTAAGTGAGAGAGTAGCAATTTCGAGCGATTTTTTTAAGGAAATGATTGATAATTTAATTACAGATCATTGCATCCAATAAAATAACACATTTCAAGCCATGTGTGTAGATTGCAGCATTCCAAGAGTTACGGGAATCATAAAATGTGTCAACTATATTTATGTACATATGTATGTGCGATCGCTGCGAACTTCCATTCAAGCAGAACTATAATAAATAAGCGCTAAAAAATTGCAAAAAAATAAATTAAAAACAATAAAGCAGCATAAATAAAAGTAGTTAGAAAGAAAACCAAAAATGGCATAAGGAAGTACTAAAACCCACACACACACACACACAAGTCATCAGCCGTCGTTTTTTTCCACACCACTTCAACTCAAAACATAAGCAGCCAATTTGCGATTATTTACTTTTAGAGAGACAAATGTGGGTAGATAATTTACAGTAACCAAATACATAGAAAGCTGGCTGACAGCCAACAGTTCGACAGTAAGCCATATGGAGGCTGAAGGCACTTGAAATCTAACGAA